ACCGAAGACGATACCCACAATCGCGTTATTCACAATTGCATATGCTTGGGTCCTTCGCCAGGATATTTTTTCAGAGATCCCACACGTCGACAGAATGTGGTTCAATGATGGCCTCGGGCCCCCGAAATGTCGCCATGAGAGCCCCAAGATTGACCCAAGATGGGCCCAGGACTGTCCCGCAAAAGCTCCAAGAGGGCCGCCGACCTGAAGTTGCCACTTTTAGGCTGGCTCCGAGATGGCCTCGAAGACACAGGTGTCTTCAATATTGTTCCAATGTTGCCCAAATCTGGGCCCAGGACTCCCCCGCAAGAGCTCCAAGAGGGCCGACGACGGCCTTCGGAGGTGCCCTAAACGGACCAGTAGAGCCCCAAGTTGCGACGAAATCTATACATATCCACTGCTCCCTGACCATGCCCATCTTGAACCCAGGAGCTGTGTATGCGCTCTCCTGGCCAAGCCAGGAGGGCGTGGCGTATACACCGCTGCGGAGTTGAGGATGGGCCTGGCCAGGGAGCAGTGGATATGTATAGATTTCGTCGCCCTGTCCAAAGGCCCTCGGACTGCCCCAGGAGGCTTTCAAAGGGGCCCCAAGACGGCCCCCAAGCGGCCGCCAGAGGGCCCACGCAGGACCTCCAAGAGGACCAGCGTAGTACAAACAATGGGGTTCTTATGGTTTTTTGCATGATTATATGGAACTCAAAATGGTTGACAAAGTACAAACAATGGGGTTCTTATGGTTTTTTGCATGATTGCATGGAACTCAAAATAGTTGACAAAGCCCCACGCCTCGGAGGCCCAAAGGTCGCAATAGAGTCCACGTGCTGCGGATGCCCCTGGACTGCCCCGAGTACGAAGCCTCAGTGCGACGTCAGACACCGGAGCGTGGGCTCCGAAGCAAAGGACCCGATAATCCGCACACGGTCCCTCCCTGGCGCGCTATACACCTGGCCGCGCGCGAAGCGCGCGCGCGATGGTTTCAGTCAAATAGACCCCAGGGCTTGCACTCCGTGGTGTTGTGAGTTTTTTTGTGAGGAGTACGATGGGTCTCGGAGGCTTTTCCTGGTGCCCGCCCGTGGGCTCCTCTTTTGGGCGCCTCGTGCGCTCGGCGGGGCAGCCGAGGTTTCTCCTCGTGCCCGCCCGCGGGCGCGTCGTCGGCGCCTCGTGGGCTGGGTGGGGCAGCCGAGGTCTCGCCCGGTGCCCGCCCGTGCACCCCTCGTTGGCGCGTCGTGGGCGCCTCGTGCGCTTGGTGGGTCAGCCAGAGGTTTCGACTGTTGCCCGCCCGCGGGGGTTGCTTTTTGCTCTCCGGGTTTTGGACGCTACCAAGTTTGACCATTCGTTAGAGCTCTAGTATTTTTTCCCGTGATATTCGATCTTATTCCCGCTCGCCATCTTGATCTCAGCTCGATCGGGTGAATATTACTATCGAAAAGCACGGTGGTGGGATCGGCCGTTTTGCCCGTGGTTGCCTCGTGTGCTGGGTTGCCGCATAGCTTTCACCAAACAGCGTTTACCAGACGGCTTGCACCACACACTTGCACCGCATAGCTCACATCACACAGCTCATACCACACAGCGGGCAACATCTACCGTAGCACGCTACATCGTTTTTTTTGTGAGAAGAACAGACTCTGTTACCCTCCCTCCCCTGCACGTATCGGCACCCCCTGGAGCACTGCAAATTACATCTGATTTTGCATCCGTGCTCATTTTCCAGAATCCATGCCATCCCAGCCAAATCGGCATCGCCCTCCCCCCCCACCCTCACTCCTGACAAAAATATTATGCGCGCGCACGTTTATCGCTCCCGATAGTTTCAATATTCCCTGTCAAGAGATGGCATAACATCCACACGCGCGCGTACATGTCGAAATCATACGAAGCACACCGGTTCTGCAAGGACTTCAACATTGAAGCATGTTTCGCGTCTAAGTCCACCACAAGGCTTGCAATGTTTTTGTCCGCGCGCATTCGCTGAACTCATAAGAAACCATTCGGTGCAGAACCAGCATTTTCATCTCACCTCGCGGTGCATCCGCGTTGATCCAGCATGCGCCCCGTTCGCGAATTCAGATCAAATCGTACCACGCAGGCCACACGCGCGCGCCGCCACGCGAGCGTGTCGAATTTCGCCCCAAACCATTCGTTCTCGAAGCATCTCACAATGGAGCTCTGCAAACAGGTATGAAGAACCACATGCTTATCAACAAACAGTTCGCCAAGGTTCTAGGATTCCCGCGCGACCGCACTTCCGCGCCATCATCCACGCCAGCGCCGTCGCATCACGCCATCGTCGCCATCATCACTCAAGCACCTTCATCATCGACACGTGGACATCATCATTGTCATCGGCGTTACGACATCGTCATCGTCATTGGCCTCGCTGTCGCCCTCGTCATCCTCTCCACCATTTTCGCCATTCTCATCATCGTTGCCGCCGTTGTCGACGTCATCGTGATACCGCGCACGCCCGAGCCGCCGACCCGCATCGAAGTGCCCGCGTGTCAGTGCGGCCTTTGACGAGCGCTGGGACGCTGCCATCGGTAAGCGCCGTGGCGGCCGCATCGGTTGTGCCAAATCGGCTGGCCGCTCTGCGCACGAGCTTGCGCTCGCCAGCGCGGCCGCAGACCGCAGAGATGCGCCAACCATGGCCAAGCATTCATCGCAATCGCTGACGCATGAGTTTAGCAAACCAAGATGCGGGTGGGAGAGTGGGATGATTGCGCGAGCAGCGGAGTTGACAATTCATGAGCTGTCTAGAATGATTTGCGCCATTTGCACCGCATAGCTTACACCACATAGCTTGCACCACATAGCTTGCACCGCATAGTTCGCAACTGCACGACCTTACTTGCACCACTTAGCTTGCACCACAAAGCTTGCACACATTAACTTGCACTACCTGTATTGCACCACGTAGCTTGCACCACATAGCTTGCATTACTCACACATCCACAGTGTAATGATTAACTGTTTGGGGTTCACGCTGACCTACTGCTTGTAGGTAATTCACAAGTTAATCGGTGGCACGCGTGCCCTGGCTCTTTCACGGTCAGACGGCGATGGAGCTGGGGCCAGGTCCAGGGGTAGGCCAGGGGAGGTGGTACGAACGACGACCACCACGAAAATAGTGAATGGGCTCCAAGCCCTAGGTGAAAGAGAATAAAGTGATCCGCCCAGGGGCCAGGGGCCAGGGACCTGACGACCACGGCCACTGCCTTGAAAATAAAGGGCTCCGGGGCCGGGGGGGGGGGGGCGATGGGGCGGGGGCCATGCCCAGAAGACATGGCCGAGGGGGCTGGGGCCAGGCCCAGGTGCTTGGGCCAGACGACCACGGCACCACGGCCACGGCCACGAACATCATGCGCTCCGAGCTCCAAAACAAAGTTGTGCAAGAGAAATTCTGTGGACAAACAAAGACAAACACGCGCTTCCCCGATTCGGATTTGCCTCGAGGGTCGTACGTTTTGAATCACCAGTGGTTTGGGGGGGCCTGCGCTGGCCGGGGTTGTTCATGTTCCTCCAGTTCGTTGGTCTTGCGTCTTATTTCTTTGCTGTCTACGACGGCCAGCCTTGCCAAGGTTGCCCGGGTTCTTCGGGCTGCAGGCCCAGATTGCCTAGGTTCCAGGGTTTTTTGGTCCTGTTTCTTTTCTGTCTGTGAGGAGGATTTCCTTGGGTTGCCAAACAAAGTGGCGCCAAGCGATGCCAAGCGCAATGCCACGCAACGCCAAGCAACGAAAAACGATGCAAAGCAATGTCAAGCAATGCCATGCAGCGCCAGGCAGCGCAAAGCAATGCAAAACAATGCCAGGCAACGCAAATCAATGCCAAGAGCTGCAATGCAATGCCAAGCAATGCCAAGCAATGCCAAGCAATGCCGCTTAGGAAGCGTTCCCCTGATTTATTGGGGTCGCGCTGGGTTCATGTGTCTGGGTGTTGCCAGAAGTTCCCCTTAGCCCTGTCCCAAGATGTTCCCAGGATTTCCAGGGAGGCCCCCACGGCCTCCAGAAGACTCCTCAACAGGCCCAGAGGGTTTCGGGAGCTTCGGAATGTCGCGAAAAGCTGTGGGCACTTTGGGCAGGGAACGCCTTTGGCAGCCTCATGGTCCTCCAGGCCCATTGGTACAGACCCTGGAGCTTTCCCCAGGACCAGTTCTTCAAGCCGAGTCGCTTTTTGAAGGTCCTGGGGCTCGGGGAAGGCCCCAGGGCCCAGAGCAAATTGAAATAAGTTCAGGTCATCTTTCCTCCAGAGCTCGTTCACTTCGTGCTAAGTCCCTCCTAGATGTCTACTGGTATACTGGGGCTGTTGTCGGCGTTTCGGGGGAACGCGCCGATTTCGGCAAGGTCTGGGCCCAGGAGGGGCCCAAACTTCCCGTGTTCCGCTGTCTCGCCTATGCGAAAAAAGCCGATTCCGAGAATATACGCCGATTGCGCATGCATAACGGAATCCGCCCCCCTAAAATGTGACAAGGTCTCCAGTCAGAGGCTGCCAGAGGTGATCGTGGCCCAATGTGCTTATAGGAAGCCCCCTGGGCTCCATAGGCCACCGGGGCCTGCCTGAGAATGTTGGGGTCACCTTGGGCCAGTTGCAAGGTGGGCTGCAGGGGATCTCCGCACAGCGCCATTGCTCCGTCTCCTTCTCCCCCTCCTCCTTTCCCTCGTTCCTCCTCTGTGGGCTTGTGATGCTGGTGGACGGTGGCGTGGCGGCGGGACGTTTGCCTCGGCATCTTCGAGTAACTCCTGGATGTTAGCTGAAGACGGAGTGCTCTTCCGCGACACCCCACACCAGGTTAGGCGTGTTTCTTGTTTTTGTGATGGAAGCCTTGAACTTCGCCGAAGGTTTGTTTTCCATTTAGCGGTCGTTAGCGGCGAACAGGGGGTGATTGATAAACGGTTGGCGCGGAGCGTGTGCCGTCATTTGCCGCTGATCGGTTGCCGCTATTTGCCGCTGATCCGCCAGCATTTTGATTAAAATAGGCTTCCATAACAACCGACGTAAACCAGGCCCACTGGTACATGCTGGACTCGGGGCACGTCCTGGAATTCGATCCCGACCTCTCCGGGGGCATCTCGGCCGTGTTCCGCGAGAAGCCGAGGCTCCTCCTCGCCGCGCTGTTCTCGCGGCTCCAGGACGAGCTCGTCCGTCGTCGTCGGTCGTCGCCGTCGCCGTCGTCTTCGTCTTCGTCGTCGCGGTCGCCGTCGCCATCGCCGTCGCAGTCGTCGTTCCAGCCCGACGATCGGATTCCCTATTAGCTCTTCGCTAGAGGGTTGAAATAATAAAGGTAAGAAGGACCACAGAAATATCCCACAGGGGGGGCCGGGAGCCCTACACCGCCCGGTCCGCCAGCCGTTTCGCTTCAGATTTCTTCACAGTTGATTCAGGAATCTTACTATCGCCTCAATGCCGGCTACATCTTTGGTCCGGACGGCCATGAGCCTTAGTATAGAAGGGACTTAGGTGCACATGGTCGTCGAGGTCTTGGAATCTCTAGGAACGCATCTCAAAGTGCGTTTTCACTCGCCGATTTCTACTCCTCGACCCGCCTCTTCACCTATGCTGCTAGTAGGGTGCTTTGCTAGGGTAATTTGGTCAATCGCAGCGTTTTTCCTCGATGTCGGCATCTGGGGCCCCTTGTAGGGCCCACGACTATACAAAACTGACCAGGGACGCAACACTACACCTGGGGAAGGGGTTTGGACCTGGGGCCAGGGGTTGAAAACTCAGATCTGAGGATGTCTGAGTTTGGGGAGCTCTTTGCAGAGTGCTTGCGATGTTATCGGCTGAAGACTCTGGCCAACGGAGTGGGGCTTATCGGCCATTCTCGTGGAGCTCGTCGGTCGGAAGACTCGGCCCCTGGGCCAGCCTACAGGGTACTGGGGGGCGTGCTGGAGGCAGAGCGGCAGGGCAGGCTCGGGCCGCAGTCGCGCGGCTGCGGCCCCGGCCTGGCGGCGCGCGCCAGGTAGGTTGCGCGAGGGGCGCGGCTCGCTGAGGCGGCGGGGAGGGGGGCTTCTTGGTCGTACCTGGTCGACTTTCCGACTGCAGTCGAACCGAGGTAAAAGATCGAGGTGGGCTACGGGAGGGTACCCTCGTGTTCTTCGCGTTTGTGGGATTTTTTTGTGCACCCTGGGGAGGGTACCCTTGGATGTCGTTTTTGTTTTGGCCAAAGGAGGTCTCATGTTCTTGAGGGATATTCTTCTGTCCTAGGTCCGACTGTACTTGGTCGATTTCCCAACTTAAAATCGTATCGGAAGCCCACCCCGAACGATGCGGACAAGTAGCGCGGACATCTCCGCCTCGGAAATAAGTAGGGCCATCGTTTTTTCCGCAGGTGTAACTGGCGGAGGCATCAAAGGAGCTTGAAAAACAGGGCGTACATTTCCGCCCTACTTGCGAGATGGCCCAGAGTTCGGCGGGTCCGAAGTCGGGGTCTCAGAAGACCCCCCGGCTTCTACAAAGGCTCTCAGAAGCCTCCGGCCCTTCTGAGAAGCCACCCGCCCTCCATCGAAGAGGGCACACTGAAAAATTGCATAAGCATAAATGTTCGGAGCTCCGCGCAGATTTCTTGGATCGACGCTGGGCCCTCCTGGCGGCGCCTGCGGCGCCGCCCCCGGCCCAGCGCCGGTCCAAGAAATCCGCGCGGGGCTTCGAAAGTGTTATTCTATGCAGTTTCTTCTTCTGTTCAATGGGCCACCCCTCCGCCGCCTTCTTGGGAGGCCGCCATGCGCGATCCCCCACCACGATAGTTATAAGTGATGAAGGGTAGCCAATCGGTCTTAGCAGGATGTGCCGGCGAAGAATGCTCCGCAATGGGAGGCCGGAAGCAGCAGAACGGCTGGAAATCTACCACGGCTGTCGAGAGTTCCGGGGGCCTGGGGAACACAGTGAGTGTCAGACAGCCGCCAGGCAAACCCGGAACGTCACACAAGCCGACCTGCAAGAGGCCGAGCGATCCACGCGGTGCCAGAAGCCAACGCCGACGGCGTCGCGACGCGAGCCGGTCGCACGACGCTGTAGCAAGGGTAGTTTGGGGTTCGGGAGGGGCTCTGCCTTTTTTTGGGCCGGTGCTCAGGTGCTGGTCTGGGAGCCCGTTCGTGGCCAAGGCTCGCCGTGGCCAGAGAGGCCCCTCCATTTCTTAGCTGACATCCCTCGTTGTACCACCATGCGTCACGATGACTGCAGGCGGGTACCTCGCTGCCTCCCCGAGGACGCCAGTGCTCCAGGGCGAAGTCTGCTCGAGACGCCCACGGGGCTCCGCGGGAGCTCTGGGCCACTCGGCGGCACAGGGCTGAGGGAGGAGACGTTTATCATCGAGGTGGACGTGCTCGGGATCAGGAGTCGAGACACTAACAGAAACGTGCAGGCAAAAATGTTCGGACGTCCGCGCAGATTGCTTGGGTCGGCGCTGAATCCCCCTCCGCACTCCCTCAGGCAGCACCTCCATCGCCACCATCAGTGCGCCCTGCCTGCGGGGGAAGGGGTGCGAGGAGGGGGTCTAGCACCGACCTGACAAACCCGCGCGTACTTCCGACAGATGATGGAAGTTTCCCACACGACAGGTTGGAGTTGTTAGATTTAAAGAAAGGAGCTCCCTACCCGCCATCAGCATGCACCACGACGCCAGCGATGCACGCTTTTTCCCCCAAACAGCTTGCTGAACGGGGTGCTGTTGTGATAGAAGCTAACTCCGGCCGAGGGAAAGGGGAGCAGAGACATCCTCACAAAAATCTAATGGTCCTGGCCGTTTCGCTTGAGATATCCTCACAACCAGGATTGGCCGTTTCGCCTGAGACATCCTCGAACAGTTGCCCTCCGGGACGCCGCGCGAGAGGTGGTCTGGGCCGTTTCGCTTGAGACATCTTCGAAACTCTGAGCCCCGAGGTGCCGTGCGAGAGGTGGTCCGGCCCGTTTCGCCTGAGACATCCTCGAAACTCTGGGCATCGAGATGACGCTTGCGAGATGGTCCGGCCCGTTTCGCTTGAGACATCCTCGCAACTCTGGGCTCCGAGATGCCGCGCGAGAGGTGGTCCGGCCCGTTTCGCTTTAGACATCCTCGAAACTCTGAGCTCCCAGATGCCGCGCGAGAGGTGGTCCTGCCCGTTTCGCCTGAGACATCCTCGAAACTCTGAGTTCCCAGATGCCGCGCGAGAGGTGGTCCGGCCCGTATCGCTTGAGACATCCTCCAAACTCTGAGCTCTGAGATGCCGTGCGCGAGGTGGTCCGGCCCGTTTCGCTTTAGACATCCTCGAAACTCTGACCTCGGAGATGCCGCGCGCGACGTGGTCCAGCCCGTTTCGCTTGAGACATCCTCGCAACTCTGAGCTCTGAGATGCCCTGCGCGAGGTGGTCTGGCGTGTCTCGCCTGAGACATCCTCGCAACTCTGAGCTCTGCCGTGCGCAAGGTGGTCCGGCCTGTTTCGCACAAGACATTCTCGCACATCTGAGCGCCCAGATGCCGCGCAAGAGGTGGTCCAGCCTGTGGGCCCAGAGGACCACATGTTACATATCCCCCCTGGGACCCTAGGAGCCCCAGGAGGCCCCAGACAGCTTCAGGAGGCCGCAGGACGCTCAGGACAGGCCCCAGGGGTCTCCGGGGGTCCCCAGGAGATTCCCAGGAGGCTCCCAGGAGGCCCCAGGAGGCCCCCTATCAGAACGTGTCAAGTTAATACACATCCGGTGTCGATTCGTTGATTTTTCCTGCTCTTGTGGCGCCCCATTTTGGTGGGCCCAGACGGCCACATGTTAGATATCCCCCCCTGGGAGCCCCAAGAGGCTTCAGAAAGCCCCAGGTGGGGCCCAGGAGGCCCCAGGAGGCCCCCGCAATTCGGAGCTTTGAGACGCCGCGCTCGAGGTGGTCCGGCCCGCTTCGCCTGAGACTTCCTCGCAGCACGCTTCGCCCGAGACATCGTCGCAACTCTGGGGTCCGAGATGCCGTGCGCGAGGTGGTCCAGCCCGTTACGCTGGAGACATTCTCGCAACTTTGGGCTCCGAGATGCCGTTCAGGACGAAGAGGAGGTGGATGAGGAGGAGGAGGAGGAGGAGGAGGAGGAGGAGGAGGAGGAGGAGGAGGAGATGGAAGGGAGAAGGAGGAGGATGATGTGGATGAGGGAGCAGGCAGGAGGAGGAAGGAGGAGGAGGAGGAGGGAGAAGGAAGGGAGTTGCAGGAGAGGACCTAACGGGAAGCGAGTGTGACGTGGACTTGTCAGAACGTGTGCGAGAGGTTGTCCGGCCCGTTTCGTTTGAGACATCTTTCCAATACTGAACTCCAGGATGTCGCTCGCGAGGTGGTCCTGCCCGTTTCGCTTGAGCCATCCTCACAATGCGAAGCTCGAAGATGTTACGCGCGAGATGGTCTGACCCGTTCTGCCTGAGATGTTTCGTAGCACACGGGCTCCAATCACAACCTTTCTCATTCCTTCTCCCGCCTCCCTCTCTTCCCGCTTCCCGCCTGGCTCCTCTTCCCTCCTCCCTCATCCCGCCTCCGGCCTCCCGCTGCTGCGCCTCTGGCCGCACTGAACGGGCACGCAATCGACCTTGGAAACCGCAGTGGGTTTAAAGAACCCTGTTTGGGGATGCTGCACTCCGGCTATGATATTGCTCCATGCTAACAGTCGGACCCCATCCTAGTCAATTGGCCTTTCACAGAGAGGCTACGGCCTGAACATTCGCGCCCTGATGGGCGACCCGCCTCGCACACCTTGCGTACCGCGACCGCCAGGCCCGGAGGGTCCCGCTGCTCCCTGGCTATCCTGCCTCGCGGCCTCGACGGACAACGGCTGCATGCCGGGGCCGCCGGGCCTCCAGAGCCCCGCTGCTCCCCGGGTATCCCGCCTCCGCCTCGCGTCTTCGGCGGCTAGCGACGGCATGCCGCGGCCGCCAGGCCCCGAGGGTCTTGGTGCTAACAGTGAGTCTCGCACCGCGTTCTCGGGTGAGGATCGCTCGAAGTATGGGTCACCCGCGGGGGCGCGAAGATAATCGCGCGTCGCGCGTCGCGGCCAGAGCGGCTGTCCTTCTCCAAGGGGGCTGCGCGAGGGCGCGAAGATGATCGCGCATCGCGGGGCGCGATGCGTGAAGTTGGGTGACCTAGATACCGCGGCCGCCTGACCCCGAGGGTCTCGGTGTTCTCTAGTTATCCCGCCCCCCGTTCTCGGGTGAGGATCGCTCGAAGCAAGAGAATCCGAGGTCACCCCCAAGGGCGCGAAGATAATCGTGCTTCTCGCATCACGGCTTAGGTTGGAGAGTCGCCCCTCTCCAGGGCGGCGGCGCGAGGGCGCGAAGATAACCGCCCGTCGCGCATCGTGGAGCGAGATGCGCGAAGTTAGGCGTCCCAAGACCATCTATGCTCATGCCGTGCTTCTCCCTCCCGCCAGGAGGCTACACGAGTCGCTGCAGGGCTCCAGCCACGAGCTTGGACTCACCGTCGCCTCGCTGTGGCACGGCGACGGGGGCGGGCCGGGCGGGCAGGCGCCGGCGCTCAAGTTCGACTTCAACGAGGCGAAGAGCAAGCGCGGGGTGACCGGGGCCCAGCAGTGGCGAAGCGTCCTGTTCTGCTTGTAAGCCCACCCACCTAGTGTTCCAAGAGCCTTTTGCGGTTCGCACGGGCGGTTCTCAGGACATTCTTGGTTGAGGCAGCTTTGATATAATACAATATGTAAACATTGCTTCGGTTCTTAGGGCATTCTTTGGTTAGGCCTACAGCAATGCCAGGACGGCCGGTCCCTGCTGCGCAGGGGCATCGTTTGGGGGGTGTCATGCTCAGGGGGGCTAGATGTTTCGATGTGTTTGGCCGTTTTCGTTGCTTCTTGGCGGTCTTCCAGCCTTGGGACGCTGATCAGCAGCTGCGCCTCGCCGAGAGCGTTCCGGAGGTGCCCGGATCGTCCCCAACGGCCGCCATAGAGATGAGTTATGACCCGAAATCCAGGGCGAGCGCCCCCGATCGCATATTGATATCCGACAGGGGCCCGATGGCCCACCCCCCGCCCTGGAGCGTGCGGATTCGCTATCGGGGGCGCATCGCCGATCTATCGACGATATGTCGTCGATTCCAGCTCGATGTTACCCCCCTCCCCCTAGCATCGCTTGGACGTGTGCGTTTTTCTCGGCGAGGACCGTCGAGGAGCATCCTGGATCCTCGAGCCAAGAAAAACACGCACGACGAACAGTGCACGGGGAATGGGCGTCCGAACGATGGCAAGTTCCTGAGCTGGGCCCCCCACCGCCCCTAAAGTCGCCCATCAGGTGAGGGTCCCGTACCGAGACTGCGTGGCGCCCGTGAGCGCCAAGGATCGAGGAACCGAGAACGTCATACAGTCCACGCGCCTAGCAAGGATGCGCGCCTTCATCCAGGGCGCCCTTGTGTCCTTGCCTCTACGGCCCTTCCTTTGCCGTTTTCATTGGTCGCCCGCCGCCCAAGAAATCCCAACTTCGGCCTTCAAGGGCCTTGCGTCCTTGCCACCCATCCTACCACACGTTTTGACTGTAACCGCAAATTCTCTGAGGTCCGCGCAGATTCCTTCGGTCGGCGCTGTCGGAAAGCGGCGATCGTCACGGACTTGCCATACCTGTCGGTGCCGCCGCGTGCGCACAATGATTGAAAAATTACATACAATTTAATATATTTTCGGAGCTCAGCGCGGATCTCCGTCCTCACATCCCTGGGCGGCGCCTCCGGCGCCGCCCCTGGCGCGCTCTGCGCGCCAGGGCAGGGTTGTGGCGAGGAAGGTCCAGCGCCGACCCGAGAAATCTTTGAAAGGTGTAATTATACTGTCTGCCGTAATGTTCGTGCTCTTCTGCCAAGAAGGACCACCCCAACGGGTCCGAGGCGCGGGTCGAGCGTGCCGTCAGCATCCTGGCCCAGCATTGCCACCTGTTCAAGAAGGTGGGATGTGGGCGGGAAGCATCTCCATATCCGCGGCCTCGCGGTCTTGACTCCTCGACCGCGACCCCGTGGATGCAGGGCAGCTTTGTGCGGATGCCCCGCGCAGAACCTATATCCGTGGGGATCGCGTGTTCGTGGGATCGCTTCGGTGTCCAGGCAGCGAGGGCATGCAGATGGACCCAGGCATACCCAGCGCTCCCCATCTTTTCGGTGCGTGGGTCCCCAGACCTCTCGACCCCTCCCCCCTTGCAGGGTCAGTTCTTCACCCAGGGCAGATTTTCTGGCGGTCCCCAGGGGCCCATGACCAGGCTCGGGAGGCAAAGGTTGACCACAGACCAACCGCCTCGAGTTTACCCGAGGCGCCGGATGTCCCCGGCGGTCGATCGGGACGAGTCCGGGCACCCTCAGAACGCCCTCGGCGAGGCGCGGCTGTTGGAAGGTATCCCGAGGCTGCAAAGTCTCAAGGTATCTACGAAGAGGGCCGACCATGTCGAGCCTTGACGTCTGGGGATGCGGCTGGCACATCAGAAACTGGCCTGTCAGCGGGAGGCCCAAGAAAATTTCAGATCTCCCGATGGCGGGGACTCGCAGAAGCCCTGGGGCACCTCAGGAAGCACAGATCTCGACGAATAGCGGGCCCCACTACTTCTGATAGCAAGACTTCTACTCGTCAGAGTCTACGGTATGTTCGCCGCTCGTGACGAGGAGCCGTCCCCGGACCTCCTCGGGTCCAGCCAGGAGCTGGAGTTCGTCGCCCTGGAGACCGTGCGGGCACCGCTTCGACCCCCTGCGCCAGCCCAAGCCCCGCATAATACATACATACATACATACATACATACATACATACATACATACATACATACGTACGTACGTACGTACTTACGTACGTACGTACGTACATACAGACATAAAGACATACATACATACAGACATGCAGACATACAGACATACAGACATACAGACATACAGAAATACAGACATACAGACATACAGACAGACAGACAGACAGACAGACATACACACATACACACAAACATACATATATGTACATACATACATACATACCTACATACCCACCTACCTACCTACCTACCTACCTACATACATACATACATACATGCATACATACACACACATACATACATACATACATACATACATACATACATACATACATATACATATACGCATACACATATACATACATACATACATACATACATACATACATACATACATACATACATACATACATACACACATACATAAATACATACATACACACATACATACATACATACATACATACATACACACACATGCATACATACACACATACATGCATGCATACATACATACATACATACATACACACATACATATATGCATACATACATACATACATACATACATACATACATGTATACATACATGCATACGTGCATACATACATGTAGACATACAGACATACATACATGCATGTATACATACATACATGCATGCATGCATGCATACATACATACATACAGACCTACATACATACATACATACATATATGTACAAATGTATGAGAGAGGGGTGCGTGCACATAGCTATCTTTTGGGGACTCGAAAAAATCGACGTGCTTTCAAGGGGGTTCGACCACAACGTTTCTCCCCCAAGTCTGCTGCTTCGGAAAACGGAGGCCGGCGCCCGGACCGCGTTTGGCCCACCCATCTCTGGCGGCGCAGGCGGCGGCGGCAGCGGGCGGCTCTCTGGGACTGGAGCTGGACAGGGGCGGAGAAACCTTCGGCGCCCCAGTCGCGTCGACTGGCTCGACCTGCCCAGGCTGTTGGGGCAGGACTGCCCTGACCGCCCCGAGGTGCCCGCCCGCCCAGCTCGCTCGAGCTGACCGGAGTCTCCGACGACCGACGCAGGCGCTGGGCCAGGTAGGCGCGCGCTTACCGGCGTGGCGGGCGCCGACGCGCGGCGGCCGAAGTGCAGGAGCGGACCACGAGGCCGACGACGAGGTTCTCGGCCGGCGGAGCCTGGGCGCCTCGTGATGTCTCTGCTGGTGTTCGTGACTGGCTGCGCGTGGTGGAGTGACCTGAAGGCCGACGAGACGGCCGGAGTGCGGCATCGAGACTGCCATGTTGACCATGAACGGCTGCATTTGCCCCCTTACTCGGCGGACGACGATCGCTGGTATATCTTCACCCCCGGCTTCGATGAGTACGTTGGGGCCGTGACGGTGGTCGGGCCCGACGACCTGTTCCCGCTGGACGGCACCGACTATGTCCACTGCTGGTTGGGGCTGCCCGAGAGTGTCCTGGGAGGGCTGGGTCCCTCGTGCGGGCCCTTGTGGGGGTCGTTGGGCCTGGAGACAGAGGAAACGATCGCAAAGACGGTCGGCGACCACGCCGCGGACATTCGTACTTTTTGGGTCGACTACGACATCCATTGGGGGAGTTTTGAGTCGCGGCGGAGTGTGACTCGGGAGAACATACAGGAGGTCTTGACTGGCGCGGCCTTTGAGGATCCAGGCAAGACGCCCCTCTTGGCCAAGCACGTCGACCGGCGCGAGAGACCCCCGCGCCAGTGGCTCCCCATGTGGCGAGGGGAGCGCAAGATGTGTTACCACGAGATGAAGGTACTGTGTGCCGCCCTCTGTTTTGCGGGGGTGTACGACCAGCTGAGCACGGACGTCCTCGCCGCGCTGGAGACGCTCGGCCACGTGCTCCAGACCATCATCGGCGCCTGCGGGAACCCGTTGCAGGTCAAGCGGGGCGAAGCCGGCGCAGATACGGGCACGCCCGGCAACCTGGTCAGTTCCCCCCTCCAGTCGTACGTGGGCTTGCGGGTCAAGAATCGCGCCTGCGTCATCGGGGCCTTTGGCCCGGGCGGTGGTGCTCGCGGGCTTTGCGGGGGCCCCATGGCCGCCGCAGGAGGCCTCAGGGCGAGCTACTCCGACGCGGGCAGCGGGGGTCCAGATGGGCACGGAGGAGAGCGCGGCGGTGGTGGACGCGAGGACGGCGGCCGAGGCCAGCGTGCACCCGCGCCCGTTGCCGCCTCCCCGCCATGACCAGCAGCGCCGCGGAGGGGTCTCGCCCTACCTTCGGCGGGCAATCAGTGGGCGCTGGGGGCCTTCCCCCAGGCGACCGACCGACGAGGGACTTCTTTCCTTTGTTTGTTTCTGCATCGCCAGCTGGCCCTTCCACTTCGACCCGTTCAGCAAAGAAGGCACGGGGCCGAGCTAGGCGGCGCGCAAGGATGGTGCAGGAGGCGGTCCACGGACTGAATTGGCTCGCCGGCTACGACACCTGGGACCTTGCCCCTGAGTCGGCCAAGCCAAGTATTTTGACGCCCGAGGTGATGGCCCGCGTGGAAGGCTTGGTCAAGGATTGGGAACCCAGGCCCAAGACCCTCTCGGGGCGGGGGGCTCTGCGGGACCTCCTGCACGGTCGGCCCCCGCGCGAGCTGGAGTCCGGCTCCGCGCACCTCGCGGCCTTCGACGCCGACCTCGTGTCCTTGCCCAGCGACGTCTCGGGCCCCCCTCCGATCGAGTCGCTGCTGGTCGCTACTTGGAGGCCGATCATGAGCTGATGCTGCGACCCGAGACTGAGACTGATGATATAGAGTTTGAGACTCGGCGGACCACGCCGAACACCGACAGAAAGCTGCTGTTCAACAAGAAGGCGTACCACGCCTTCGCGAGAAGGCTCTGGGACCTGGGCATGCTCGATGCGAATTACGCTCATCCCGCGGGAGAGGATCGGGGTCTTCATCGTCTGGAAAAGCAACGAGACGCGCCTCAGGCTGGTCATAGACGCTAGGAGGAGCAATTGCTGGTTCCGCCCACCACCAGGCGCTCGACTCTGCACCTCCGAAGCGTTCAAGAGCACCGAGGTGGGCGACGGCGACCTGAGAGAGCTGCACCTGGGAGTGGCCGACGCGAAGGACTGCTTCCACTGCCTCAAGGCCCCCGTCCGACTCAGGCCCTTCTTCGCCTGGTCGGAAGTGCTGGCGCGGGCGCCAGGGTTGACGGAGTTGGGCAGCGCCCGGCCCAGGCCGACCGACGCGGGCACGGGCTTCGCCTGGTCGTTGTATTTCGCCCGCTTCGAAGGCCGACGAGCGGCTGGCCGCGGCCGCCCCCGACCTGCGCGGCTCGGAGACCCCGCGCGACGGGTCGCCGCCCCTTGTGCTTTCCGAGGACCACCCCCGGCACGGCGCGCACGTGGACAACCTGGGCGCTTCCTCGCGGGGCGAGAGGGCCGCGGGCAAGGCCGCCCGAAAGTGGGAGGCGGGCTCCGCGCGGCACGGACTGGAGCTACGCGGGGGCGAGGCCCTGAGCGAGGACGTCCGAGCCCAGGACCGTCGGCCTGACGGGCGCCGGCTGCGCGCGGCCACTGCGCCCGAGAGTTCTTGGGGGATCTGGGCCGCGAGCGAGGAAATGCTCCGTTGCGGCGATGTTCAGGCTGAGCCCTCGCCACCTTCGTGAGTCTCATTCAGAGGGCCCTCATGTCCGTCTTTCATGCCGGCAATCGATTTTGTCGCACCCGCTACGCTGATGTCGCTGTTTTATGGCCCTCAGTTCGCGATGAAATCCGAGCACGGAAGGGGCTGATGGTCTTTCTGGTCCAGGACTGGGGGCGGTGCTGAAGTGAATTTGTGATTCAGAGCGATGCGAGTGAGCGTGGGCTTGGAGTCTGTGCCTCTCTTTGGATTCGAGGGCAGGCATCCTCAGTTGGTCGCGTTTTGGAGAGGGCTGATTTCAGCTCGCAGGCCGCAGTGCCCAGGCGTCGGCCCTCAGCGCGGTTGGTTTCGTCGAAGACCCTCGGTCCGGCGTCGGGGAGATTCCGCGCGACGAAATCGGAGACTCTGCGATTGTGCCCGATTTTCCAGAGGTCCCGGCAGGCCTCCTTGACAAGAGCCTCTGGGCCCTTTGCGCTCGGGGCATGTGGATGTTCTCGGAGAACATCCTGACCTTCGAGGCTCGGGGCCCTCGCTCGACAGACCTCCAGCGATGGATCTGGCCTCGGGCGCGGGCGGGGACAGGCGCCGCGCCCGGCCCTGGGCGCGGGGGCCGCGACTCGGATGGCGTCCGCGCAGGAGCGGAGCGCGAGGGCGCTAGCTCGGGCGGGCGCCCAAGGGGCGCGGACGAGGCCGCGGCGATCGCCTCTGGCCTCTGGCCTCGGCCGCAGTCAGCTCGAGCGGCTGCTCCTCGCTCGAGCCCAAGCCCGACTGCTTCGGCGGAAGGGCCCGAGGGCTGGCGCGGAGCTCCCGCGGGGGGGCCAGCAACGAACCCGGGGACGGCGCCGGGCGTCGAGAAGAAAGGGCCCCGCCAGAGCCACCTCGGACAACGCGCGCCGCTGCTACTCCAGCCGCCTCCAGGGCTTCGAGGCTCGCGCCGAGGAGCTCGGCCCAACGGACGAGGGCGGCGGCGGCGGCATGGTCGGCGAGTCCGCGATGTGCTGCAACGACGGCTTCCTCAATTGCCGGCGGTCGGACTGCGGGGCGAAAACGCCGTCGGCCTCGGCGAACCGCCGCCCGACCTTGGCTAGGGATGGCAGGCGGCGGGGGCCGCTGGGCTAACGCTGCTTCCGCAGGTGGCGCCGCCTCACGCCTGGTCAATCGAGGCGCCCCCTCCATCAGGCGGGGCGACAGCTGTCGACCTCCGCGCGGGGCGGCGCAGGCCGATGCTGGGCGGCGCGGCCGACCTGTGGCCGCGCGAGCTGGCGAGGGCGCTGCCCGATGACCTGGTCCCCAGGATGCGGTGCGTC